AAGTATGCCCTCATAGTTATTCCGAGTGCACTATAAAACCTGGAACACTCAAGTGTTTTTCAAGTCAGAATCAAGCCCATTCCTTTAACAAGAAAAAAACCCCCACCCACCACCACAGCTCTTGATTCTCTTTAAATTGTCAATTGCTACCAACTTTCACACATACAGTACGATAGGAGATGGCATCAGATACTTGCCTTTCCTCAACTGAGGAATGCTGAGAAATTGGGCAGAAGTTGCATCCAGTGTACAAAAAAAAAAGATGAATTTGCCAGTGCAGGGAAAAGGATACAGGTAGAAACAGACTCCCATGAAGAACTGAAGAGAGAAAATCCCCAAAGCAAATTAAGAACCAGATGGTTTGGGAAAACAAAACCATTCATCAATTGTGGACAGAGAAGTTATGAAACCTGTCACCAGTTTAGTCATTACTTCAGGAACCTCTTCTCTCTTTAATTTCATCCCACAAAGTATGTTAAGCACGGTATGTCAAAGGCTTTTTGGATCCCTAGGCTCATGAAAAAATAGACATGGGATGACTGAACTGCAGTTCTGTCTTGTGGAACTAAAAATGTTATTTCAAGTAAAATTACAGCTAAAAACTGCCCTTGAACAAGGGAGACTTATAATTTTTTTTTTTCCAAATCTGAGTAAAATAATTTTATGTTTCCAGCGAAGTACAGCTTTACTGGCTGGATTAAGACAGTAACTCAGCATAGAATCACCTTCCACCTGAACAGAATATATTTGTTTTGAAATAACGAGTGATAACAACTGATGACAGCTATTAAGATACATTAAAAATCTCAAGGGAATTCCATACAAGGGAATTCCAAATAAGATTTCATGCCTTCAAAACAAGGTACTCATAGGATGCTGATTAAATGCTAATTTACAATATGATTTTTAAAATAATTATTTTAAACACAAGAGTGTGCAAGCATTGCTGCTTCCAAGGAAAGGCAGATGGCCTGACTTCGATGTGTATTCATTCATCCGTTTGGAAGCGGGTCACAGCACTAGCTGAGCAGCCCAATCACTGGTATTTACCTCCACCTGCCAAAGCAGTAAAGCCTTCCATAGGAGACAGCACTCGAGGAGGGTCAGATTCTTTACATGGGAAAAGAATGAGAAAGATGCTGCTTATGAAACCGCAGGAGAAAACACCACACTCCAAATGGAAGAGGTTAAAGGCAACTGGCACACTTGTGTATATTATCATTCTAAAATACACATATTTCCAAATATGTATTATGTCACAAGCCTAAACTGCAGGAGATGCCAGTAATTTTCAAATCTTTTCTGAATGCTTAAGTGACTCCATTAATTTTTTGTACATTCTTGCTGGCTGCATGAGAACAAGAGAATTCTTGGAGAACATTCAGCCTAATGCCGTTGTATGTGACAGCTCAGAGGAAACCAGCAGAAAAGAATTCTGAAAAATCTTCCATAAAGTAAACCAATGAGAAATAGCAGTAGAATGTTTAATGCCTGTTATTTATTGTATACATACTCTGCAAAACTTATACGCATTTGGTGTGTGCAAAAGTATACACTCTTGACAGCACCAGAAAACAGTTAAGCTATGTACGAGTTTTCAACCTGATTTGTCACATTGTATAGAAAGACATTGTGCACAAATGATATCCCCAAAGAAAAAAGTCATTGGCTAAAACTAGAAGCACCCTTATTTACACACTAACACTTTAATATTGCATCACACCCACTCACCAAAATAAATAGTACATTCATCACAATTTAAACACCAGTCTCTCCATATATTTATTTTCTTTCTGACATGTTTTGGTCTCCAGAAATATTCTATATCTAGAAATATGCATCAGCTACTAGATTATGTTACAAAATGCAAAAAAAATAGAAAATTACTTTTCCTGGACAATATTTTGGCCTTTACACAAAAATAAATCCAGATTTCCATAGAGATCTCATATATTTCTTGAAAGATTTTTATTTTAAAGCACAGCACAGAGTTGCACACTAAGGCTTCCTGTGATATGCAAAACCCTGGCCTCCAAAAGACATTGCTGTAAAGCGAAATACAGCTCAAGTGTAAATACAAGACATTTTCAAAAAGTAGTCATCAATAGAAAGTGCCCTTCATTTGATTCAGCATTAGCAGTAAAGAAGTAGCTACTGTAATTGTGCAATCAAAGCCAGACCTGGAAGGGTTTTATGAAAAGTATGTAATTTCACACTATCAAGTTTAAGGATATAGAATCGGAAATAGCAGAAACCAACCAACCTTTTTGTAACTCCTACATTCATTATTTTTTTGACACAATTTAAAAAAAAAGGCACATTGTCAAACAGTGAATTAAAAATCTAAAAACCAAACCAGAATTTCATTACATACAATTAAATCATTAACTTAACATCAGATCCTCATAAACCAATATAAGCATTCTTCCAGTTTTTTCTTAACCTCAAATTCAGATGCACTTTGGACAAGTACTGAAGTACGCTCATTAGATTAATACTGTTAATCTGGCAAACAGTCAACATGTTTTTGGATACAAGGTCAGGAATTAAAAATTTAGTTCCTTCCTAGCCGATTTACAAATACGCAGTAAATGCAAACAAATTTAAACCCAAACATTTGTACAAAAGTTGAAAACCGACTATGAGAAAGTACTTCTTGACTGTAAAATTACAAATGTGTCCTTGACTGATTTTTCATGAAATAGACAAAAGTGTAAGCAATGATCACTGTGTGAAGAAGCAGGTATACAGCGTCTTAGGGAGGCTAGCAGAGTACATTCCAGTCACCATCTAAAAGACAAATGACAAAGTGCTTCACAGATTAAGAAATGTAACTGATCTCGTGTGGTTAAATAATCAGGAAGTGGTGAAATAATCAGCTTATTTAGCCTATATTTATCTGAAATGCAGATTTAATTCCCAACTGAATGAATTTTGAATTAATATGTTTCTTTTGCTTCATAAGAGACTTTTTTCCCAACCAGGCGGGAAGTTGCTCACAGCCGATACAGCTGTCTGGGCTCACAGACCTAGAGCCTTTCTCCAGCTAAAAAAAATTAAACAGTAAAAACACTCAGTAACTTGATCATGGTCCCAGTGTTTGTTGTCTTGAATGGATAATTCTAGGAACTGCAACAGAAAATTTTAGATGGTCCCAATGAAGCAGAGTGAATACAACAAACTTCTAGACAAGCAGTGAGGTTACGCTAGCTTGCATGGTCTCAAGTGCATACACTGAGAAACAGTTTGTTAGTTAATATAGAAAGTTAAAAATACAGAAGAGCAATGATGGTACCTTCATCTGGGCTCCCTGTCAGCTAATACTGAATTAGTTTATAGAATCTATGCTAATAGCTTACTGATGTGTTTTACTGAGGCAGTGAAATGCTACACCATTGACAGAAAACATCTTAAAAAGGCAAATTTGTTTTTTCTTACATTAAGAGTCAGATGTTTAAACTTCAGCAGCTTCCAAGATTGTTCCTTACAGGTTGCTATCTAAACTGCTTCCTAGAAGCAGCACTTAAGAATAGCCTTGATAGGAAAGGCTCCTTTGTTGTTTTTCTACAAGGTAATTTTTCCTTTTTATTCCTTTACTTCCCGCCCCAACCCAACAAACACCCAAAGCCCTTTTTGTACTTTTCCAAGTACTTCTAGCATTCAAACATAACAGCCTCAGCAGCTGAAGCCAGAGGTACTATCAGTGGAGCCTGGAGCCTGAGGCGAAGCTGGGCACTGATACTGGTGAGCTTTGAAGGGCAACCTGGGGAAATCAAAGTAGATGCAACACCAGATTTGAGCTTCAGACTCTCAGTACAACTCCTGTAGACTTACATGAGCCCTGTGCTGATTGTAAACAAATTCAGTTACTGAAATAAACAGTCTTTAAGTGCATAGATAGAAATAATGTGCAAATATGGGCATTAAGGTAAGTAACTGAACTAACTCTCCTGCTATGCATAACATTTTAGATTTTTGGTTTGATGAAATTAATCACAAGAATTAACTAGTTCACATGAAGTTGTTAATATTGAAGAGCTGCAAATACATTCTAACAAAAGTTAATTCTGATGTGCTTTCTAAATAGTAAACATAATTAGATAAATGACTGCTTCGCATTTTAAATCATTTAACACATCGGATGTTTAATGCAAGAAAAAACATGTGCACCGTACACAATTTGTAAAAGCAGCAGAAGCTGTTAAACAAATGTGAAGATTTACAGGGCAGGAAAAGAATTCCCAAGCATACGCTTGAGCCCAAAAGCACAAGTTACACACAAACACTAGAAATTCCTGTTTTCAGGGTGTGTATCATACTGAATTAGATTGGCATTGGAATTCCAGACACAGCAAAAGCCAACATAATCTTTTGGCCCTATCTATAACTGCACAATTTGCAAGTGACATGCATTTTTCTCTTTAGAAATAGAGAGGTTCAAATTATTTTTATGGGTCCTCAAATCGGAAAATATGCGGCACTTTATTGCTTTGAATGTCTGTGGCAACGGCTGAATTTACACCCAAGCTGCTTCTGTACAGAAGATGACATTTCAATACTTTGAGGCTCAAGATTGGAGACACAGTAGGATATAAAGCAATTTCTAAGTCCCAAGAAATATCAGGGAACACAAATGCTATTCCTTTCTTTCAAGTGAATGCAAAATTGGTTTACTGGTATATGGGCCCACACAGTTCCGAGTCAGTGCATAGCTAGTCAATATTTCTGCTGGCATTTTGAACTGGTTTAATCAATGGAAACATTTATTAATTTTATTCCACTTATTATGCATTAGTGCATTAATTTCTTCATAAAAAACCAACCCTGGCAAGTATTAAAAATAAATATCTTATTTAGGTCAAACAAATTGCTTTTCAGTACGTTAATCCCTTTAAATATTCTTTTGCCCTCTAACAAGCAAATGGAAACTGAAGTAGAATAAGAGATGTATGGAGGCAGAGGATAGCAGAAACATGAACAAAGTCAACACCATAAGTCAGTTAACGTGTCCTCAGCTTCTTAGACTGTCTCTTGCGTTTCAATTCTTCTTCTTCCCGTCTCAATTCTTCTAAGTCCTCCTGAACACCAAGTCTCAAGCTGCCAAACAAGATGAGTAGCAGTATGTAAAGGATTTCAAGAAACATGAAATTTGACTTCCACTCCTCCCCCAAAAAAGCAATCCTAAAATTATTACAGTTGAGCAAAAATTTTAGATCAGTTCAACAATCATAAATTTTCTTTCAAAATAGCAAGAATACAGCTTAAAAAAAAGAAATCAAGATTTTATCATTAGAATAGAATCAAATCTTTTGAGGGAAAAATTATTTAAAACTTTTGTTAATAAAAAGTCAAGACTGTGAAAAAACCCTGATTTTAATACAAAAGCTCATTTTCCAAAAAGAAGCTGCTGAAACACATCCATCAACTCTTGCCAATGTAACTCTTACATACAAGTCACAGCAGGACTGACTCTCATCCCCTTCTCTGATAGCCACCTAAACCTTTTACGCTGGCAAGGGAGAGAACAGGTAACATCAAACAGTAGAGAAGCAAGATGTTATTGCAGCTTCCTGGTTTGAGAGACCATTCAGGTAGCTACAAGCACAACATTGCTCCACCTGCAGTCCACCTAGCTGCCAGGGCTCTGGCGAACAGGCCCATGGAAGAGACTCTGACAACACAGCATGTTCTAGCTATGTCCCTGCATAATTTCTTCAGCTTCCCAGAAGTTGGAATGTTGAAAGTGATCCTTAAAAACAGTATCTGCAGTCACTGATCTCCTCTTCAATAAATATGGGCTGGATAGCCTTGCCGGTTTGATACTAGGAAGGGCTGTGGCAAAGTTACCATTCTGTGATCAGCTACTGCCTCACTTGCAGCCCCACCACATGCATTTGTACATCCATAGTTCATTATGAAGCAACATAAGGCAGCATAGCACGCATCTCGATGCAAAAGGTTCAACCACACAACAGTGAGGATTCAACTGTTCTGGGTTCAACTGCTCCCATACACGCTCTAAAGTGGATTTTATGCCTAAACAAGCATAGGAAAGTCATCCTGACTTCAGGAAACTGCAGTCATCCAAATTAAGATTAGAAACAGGCACATCAAGGATCTTTCTGATAAAACTGTCTTGAAGTGTCATTTTTCATTTCAACTTAGAACTTAACTATAATTTTAGTGGGCTTGCTTGGTTAGAAAAAGTTCCTCATTTCAAAGGTCACAATGCTTTTAACCAAACTCTCAATGAAAAGTAGCTGAGCATTGAAAATAGTTAAACTCAATTTTACTCAAGTTCCTTATCTCCTCTTCCTTTATGCTGCATGTGTAGTTACAAGTTAGCCAGGTATTCAACTCTGCAAAACCTCACTCTAGGTCTCCAACAGACAATTCAGTTAATAGCAATATCACTGTAAAATTCCAGTTGTTTCCTCTAACTCCATTTAACAGACTACAGCTTTGCATGAGCGGCAGCTGTTCCCCAGGAGCAAGGACACTGACTTCAAAAAGATGCAAGTTTTCAGTACTTCTGAATAACAATAAAAAAATTTTGGTAGAACAAAACTATTTGTTAACTCAGAATATTCCAGTATTTTCCATATAAAAACCTCTTAACTTTCACAAAGCTTGTTCCACCAGTCATTAAAAACCAAAAAGAAAACCAGTTTATGAACACCATGCTTTATAATAGCAACATAAGAATTGTGCAGGTCTAGAGGCCAAAATCAATGGCCAAAACCAATATGAAAACATAATATTTGTATTTTAAGTCAGCAGTTACAAAAGTTTGCCAGACTACTTTTTACACATACAGAGAAATATACAAAGACATGTATATAGATAAAAACAAATTAATCTCCTTCCAGTCCTCAAACTAAAAAAAATATTGTAATGTTTGGGACAAATTGAAAGGTTTAGCATTTCAAGTGAAGTTTAAAGTATTTTTAAAAACATTTTGGGGCATAAGTTGGTTTTGATATTTTTTTTTAAACAAGCAAAGTTTGTGATGCATGAGAATGAACATACAAGATTTACTACTATACCTACCACTGGCTGGCTGAGTTTCATCTTTACCTAAGCTTTCTTATAAACGAATAGTAAGGCTTATTTACCTCTGCTATAAAAAGCAGCAAATACTCCCTCTAACATAGCCCCATGACTTGGGTAATAAACAAACTTCACACGTTCTATCTTTCTAGTTTAAATCCATGCATACCTCCTAGCTTCTTCTTTCTGTTGCTCTCTCCAGCTGCTCTCCATATAACGTAAGGCATAGTCACTTTCGTCTTTGTATCTGGAAATTAAATATTAGTTTTCAGCACAATAAAAAACATGATAATGTACAGTTGAGTTATGAAGTCACATCCCTTCTTAGAAGAAGAATTACCTTACCATACACAGATTTTAATGTTTTGAAAGAATATAAGTTACTAGTCTTTAAAATGCTTGCTTTCCTATGCCTTATTGTCAGACAAGAGGGAAGTATTTAAATAAGCCAAAGAGCCTTCGTTTTCCAGCAGTTCCTAGTCATACCAAGTTAGATCCTCTCACAGAACAGCTAACACTATTGCCTTTAGCAGTTCACACTGAGGCAGATACATCTGATGAATTCCAAAATACTGCAGACCACTATAGAATGCATTTTAACATCCAATAATAGGGAAGAGTTGCTATGAATTATACAGGTGAGACATTGAAGAAGCTGTGTTGTTTTCTAACTATGTCCTATTGCATCAAATTTTATTGCTCCCAGAAAAGCGTGGCAGGCAATGCGAAAATTCAAGGTCCCTTCTGCACAGGAGCAGCTCTAATGCTTGTTAAATTTCTGCAATGCAAAACCATTTTTGGATACCAGCACTTCCCCTATTTCTAAAACATTTTTATTTATTGAACTATATTAATTTCTGTTCTGTTGCTTGTTCTGCAGTATCTTAAAACTGACATTTTTCTTACCTTTTCCGGTCATAGCCAAATATTTCCCGAATATGTTTTGATATTTCTTCTTGGGGTTCCCCTTCATCTTCAATGAAGTCATCCATTTCAGAGTCATATTCATCATCATCATCATCATCTTCCATCTGTCTCTTGTAACTAACAGGTGGTCTTCCAAGACCTAAGTGACAGAGGAGTGAAAAAATCATGAATCAATAACATTAATTGAACATTAATTTAACAGTAACTCTCCTTGCTATACCTTGGGCACAGCCATTTTACAGCTCTGAGCTTCAAACGTGGAAAACTTCTGCCTCAAGTTAACTAGCAATTCTTGGAAAGTCAGTAAAAGGAAATACTTCCTCTAAGCTGTGCTACAGAAGATGACATATCAGTACCACACATGGCATTCTGAACAACCTAGCAGACAGAAGTCTATGCTCTTGCTCAGGCTTTCTTTAGGCACTTATTTGCACTTATTTCCATGCTGCTTGTTCCTGTTCAGAAACAAATTTTCAGAATTGCTTGCTTACTGGTAAGTTGAATTTGCCAAAACACATTATCAGTCACAGGTTTGATGTGTGGTTTTTATTTTCATGTACCACTTCAGGCATCTGTTATTTAAGACATTAGAAATTTTAAAGACTAGGTGTAATTAAGAGGTGTAGGAAATAAATCCTTCAATTCTCTTCCTTCTAACAGAATTTGTATACCAACATCCATCACAGGCTGCTTAGTTTTCTTTCATGTAATACTTCACACTCCAGACTTGTATTTCAAGGAATATGAGCATAGGTAAAAATAAATAAAAAGCTGCAAAGCAGAAAAAAGCATTCTACTGTTAAATGCACTCTTTACAAGGCAAACATGGTATTTTGTCCAAGTGTTCCTAATTGCACCTATAATTGTCAAAGACCCTCAGTGACCTCAGACATTTATAAAAATACAAAACAAATAACTAAGTGAAAAAAATTATTTGCTCTAGAACTTTATACCTTGTGGATGAAACACAGGCCTATGTCCTTGAAAAGATCTCATTCCATTTATCTGTCCATTGCTAGGTCTTGTGACAAGGTTTTTCGAAGAAATAGTTTCTGATACAACAGTACACTTCGGTTTTACAGTTGTACCCAAGCCACTGCCTGGTCGCCCAGGTCCTGTGCTCGGGCCAATGCCTGGCCTTCCTGGTCCTGTTCCCAAACTGCTGCCAGGTCGCTTGGCTCCTGTGCTTGGACCGATGCCTGGCCTTCCTGGTCCTGTTCCCAAGCTGCCGCCTGGTCGCCCAGGTCCAGTGCCTGGCCTGACTCCTGGCCTTCCTGGTCCCGTACCCGTGCTGCTGCCTGGTCGCCCAGGTCCTGCATTTGTGCTGATGCCTGGCCTTCCCGGTCCAGTCCCCAAGCTGCTGCCCGGTCGCCCAAGTCCCACGCTTGAGCTGCTGCCTGGTCGCCCAGGTCCCACGCTTGAGCTGCCAGCAGGTCTTCCAGCTCCCAGGCCTGAGCCACTGCCCTGTCGCCCAGGTCCTGGGCTTGAGCTGCTGCTCGGCCTTCCAGGTCCTGTGGCTGAGCCGCTGCCCAGTCGCCCAGGTCCTGCGCTTAAACTACTTCCTGGCCTTCCAGGTCCCACACCGGAACTGCTGCTTGATCGCCCAGGTCCTGCACTTGAACTGCCACCTGGATGTCCAGGTCCTCCTTTTCCCAAGCTGCTGCCTGATCGTTTTGCATTTGAGTTGATTCCATGCTGAAGGGCTGCAGCACTTCCCGATTTTGTATGGGAAGACTTTTTCAGGCCGGATTCTTTAGCAGATGGTAGCCTCTGAGCCCCATTGGCCACTGGTTTTGAGGGTGGCACATGAGAGCTTGAGCCAGACTTTCCAATACCATTGACAGGTAATTTACTATGACTGTTACCAGTAGAGCTTTTTAAGGAGCCATTTTGTGAGTTTTTTTCCATTTGATCAAATCTTGAGGAAGAAGATGACCGTGAGTGTTTTTCAGTCAATGCTGGTGCTTTGGATTTCTTATCAGTACCACTCATAGAAGATGACAGACTGCCTTTTGGTGTGGAATGTTTATCTGCTGAGCCTTTGTTAAGTTTTGCATTTACAGATTCTTTCTGAGAAGTCACTTTTTTTGAAGAACTGGATATCCCTGTATTCTTAATCTCCTTCTCACTTTTCTTATGCATTTCTACTCTTCTGTTTTTGCGTACCAAATACTCCCTCTCTCTCAATTCTTCTGCTGTTCTGGGTCTCTCTTCTACCTTTTTCACTGCTTTTATTTCCACTGGTTCGTATTGTTTTTTTTCAGCAAGCCTCAAGAGCTCTGCAAAGTTCAGAGGTGCTGGTGCGCTTTTGGGAGGTGCCTTTGGTTTCACTGCAACTTTGGATGGTTTCTCTTCATATTCTTCTTGTTCATGCTCAGATTCAGTCTGACTGTATTCGACTTGCTCAGTTTCATCTTCTGTTGCATACTCAGCCTCCGGGGCCTGAGCAACATTCTCACAAGTCCTCCTCTTTTTAGTCTTCTCTTCAACAGGAATGAAAAAAAACCATAAAAATTATCCTTTGTTCGTGAGGCCATAGCTCTTGCCTTTCTGTCATGTTTCAGTTCAATACGTCTAGCCAAGAGCTGCTCTTTCTTTCTTCTTTCTTCCAGTGCTGTAGGAGAAAACCAGGAGAAAGTTATGAAATAAAAAGTAGTGCTTTTGCTTCCTTCCAAGCCGATAAACCATTCTGGACAGTAATTTAAAGATATCTGGCTAAGGTCTGTTCAAAATAGACTAGAAAGTGATGAGAGGTCTGCCAACAGGACAAGCTAACCCACCTCAATCAGCTACTCTGATAAACAAAGGTGAACAATTAAGTCAAATGCTGCTATTGCAAAACCCGCTAAGGTGATTCAACTGAAGCAGCTCTCCAGAACACTATGCAAGCTAAGGAGAATTACTGTGTGAGGAGGTACAGGAATGATGGGATCTCTGCGTAATTGAAGGAGTTCTGAGACTGAGCAAGAGAATTTTGACACCGTACAGAATTTACTATCAGATGTTTAATGGAAGGGGGGGATAAGAATTGGAAAATAGGTTGAGTGTGTGTGTGTAGAGGGCTGCAGGGAGATAGAAGCAGCGAGCCACAGAAAAGCAAGCTGTTGGTCGCTACATTTGTCTGATAGAGCCCTGTTCCCCATCTCCACAGTCTGTCCTATATTCTTACTGAACTGTTTTTAGCTATTTCCTGCATAAGTACACTCTTTATCTTGAGTATATGTGTGATCTACTGACAAAATTCAGGCTGAACTAGCTGCTGAATAGGATGAGAGGTCTGAACACCAGATACTGGAGAGATCAAGGGAGTGGGGGCCAAATACCAGAAAGACTCAGGAAACGCATCAATTCCTAGAAAATGGATTGGGCCACTCATGCTTTGGGTGCCCGTAAAGGTACCATCCCCTGCCTATGTTATTCTATTGGCAAGGCAAGGGCCGTGAATGTGCAGGCACGCCTATGTGAAATTCATGTTCAGTCTTGCTTCCGGCTGGACCTAGCAACAGGAATAAGGAGCAGGTTCATGACTGCCCCAGGAGAGAAGAAACACCCTGGGACATCCAGTCCATCAGATTTGGTTACCTCCAACAAAATATTAACATCAGAAGCAATGCAGTATTAGTTTATTCTATGGATTATTTAAAGAAAATAGAATACAGTGAAAAAATTGTGGCTCAAACAAAGCCTCTGCCATACAGATTTAAAATTCAGACTGTATCGATACACTAGATTAAGATACAACAGGAACTCTTAGTATTTTTCCCCCCACAGATGAAGTTTTTCAAAGTTAAGTTACCAAAAGTCCAGATGGTTTCTTGCAATATCTCTTCACCTTAACTACTTCTCGATCTCCAACAGTAAATGCTAGTTCAGCTCATTAATATTTAATTCCTTAAGAATGCAGGCAAACATCCCTAGTCTTTACTTAGTCCTTGCTTTCCCTCAGCATCAGTTATATGCATAAATTCCAGAAACAGATGTGTAGTTGTATTTGCAAGACCTTTGAATAAGGTGACAAAGTCTCAAAGAGTCAAAGTCTCCCATAGAAAATATTTTGGACTATTACCTTTTTTTCTTTTTTCTTCTTCTTGCCGTCTGAGAAACTTGTACTGCTGCAGACTCTACACCCTTGACTTTTGGAACCTTTTTGGGAGGACCAACAGCCAAACTGTACCTTTTCTGCAAAGAACAAAGAAATATGTCAGAAAAGTTAAGAAATGTAAAAATTTTTTTTAAAAAATCTTTTTTAAAACTGAGGAGTTGCATAACAGTCATGTACTTGACTTTAAGCATAGAGATGGTACAGAATAAACAGACAATGAATTCTCACTGAAGCTGAGAGTTGTGATGATATACTTGACTCCCAGCCATACTTTGGTTCAGCCT